AAAGACTTTTAAGTGCCCGTACATAGGAACCACACATACCTCAAGGCTGAATTTGAAATACTTATTTTGTACTTGGGAAGGGAACACTCCCTCAATATTTCAGCTTTTCAGTTTTTTTGGTTACCGAGTTAAAAGTTTTTCCGCTAACTTCACATATCTGTACTTGAGTACTTCACGTGCTTGAAAGGCTGAATTTGAAATTTTTAAATTACAGGTGGGCAGGGAGCATCCGCCTAAAATTTCAGGCTTCCCAGCTCTTCTGATTGCCGAGTTAGTAATTTTCCTGCAGAAACTTTCATAACCCCTTACGTGAGTACACTGCGTAGCTTGGGTCTGATTTTGAAATATTTGAGTTGTACTTGGATGAGAGATATTCCCTCAAAATTTCAGCTTTCTAGCTTTCTTACTACTCGAGTTAGCAATTTTCTTGCAGAAACTTTCATACGCCCTTATGTGAGTACAGTGCATAGCTTGGGGCTGATTTTGAAATATTTGAGTTGTACTTGGAAAAGGAAAATATTCCCAAAATTTCAGCTTTCTAGCTTTCCAGGTACCCGAGACAGCAATTTTCCCCTAAAATTTTCGTACGCCCTTACGTGAGTACAACGCATAGCTTGGGGCTGAATTTGAAATATCTGAGATGTACTTGGATAGGAAACATTTTTGCGAAATTCTAGCTTTCTAGCTTTCCTGGTACCTGAGATAACAATTTTCCCCCTAAAACTTCCATACGCTCCTAAGTGAGTACCACGCATACCTGGGGGCTGAATTTGAAATCTTTAGCTAGTACATGCACAAGGAATATCCCTACAAAGTTTCAGCTTCTTAGCTTGTGTGGTTTCCGAGATCTCTTTTCCGCCAAAAAATCTGTATATTTTTTTAAGGCTTCCGTACGCAGCACCTAGGCATCCAACGGGGATGAAATTAAAACAGGAGGGTCGCGCGTGGTATGGGCACATATCCCCAAAGTTTCAGCCTTCTAGCATTTCTGGGTCTCGAGTTGAAAGTGGGTGACAAAAAGTGCGAACACACAGGCACACACACATACACACACGCAGCCTCTTCCCAATATGCGTTTTTGCAATTTACATATATGCAAGAACGCATAAAAATCAAATGAGAAATTTGAGAAAGCTTTTCTTCCACCCGCCTGTTCTGGCTGAGGGCCATGGATCCCCACCCCTTAAGAAGACGATAATGCTTAGGAAAGAAATAAGAGAAGGAGTGTGGGGTAACAGAGGAGCACAGTGTGAGTGGGTTGGAATGGTACTGAACCAGGATGGGAGGAGGAATGATGCTTAGGTAAGGCAATAGGAAGACTGGTAAAAGAGGAGCTTTGGAGTGTGGCTGGATGGAAATGGTACTGAACCAGGATGGGAAGAGAATGATGTTGTTAATGCTTAGGTGTAGGAGAAGAAATGAGGAAGAGCGTTACAGTGGCTGGGTTGGAATGGCACTGAACCAGGTTGCGAAGAGAATGATGTTGAGTATGCTTAGATAAAAAAATGAAGTGAGACGAGAAATGGTAAATGAAGACCCACAGATCTCTATGGTACTGGGTATTCAGCCAGGAAAGGAGGAGTGCTACAGAAAGAGTAGTCAGGAGTAGACTGCTTCCAGTAAATAATGCTAAGGAAACAATATATATACACATCCAGGTCGGAATTGAGGGCTTAGCTAATGAAATAGCTACAGGAGGAGAACAAGGATTGCTATATCACTGGATGGCAATGGGACCATGGTACCGAGCCAGCACAGGAGGGGTGGGGGACCCAAGCCCTCAGCCAGGACAGTGTACAATAATGTACAACCATCAGTACGTCCTCCGCTAAGGTTTCGCCAGCGTACGACAAATTTGTAAGCTTTTTTTTGGCCCAATAAAGCACAATAAGCACATGGAGCAGGGGTTGCCCTTTTCTGTGTGTGCGTGTGTCTGTGTCTCTCTCTCCCTTTCTGGCGTTTCCAGCAATAGCGCTGCTGGTGACGACAAAAAAACGGGGAAGTCTGCAAAACCCCCTTTCCTGCATACGGCGCCGGTTTTTTGCACGATAAGCAAGCACACTGCGCACCAAGTCACTAGAACTTCACCATCCTCTAATTCCTGCAAGGGCAACGTTGCCCCACTCTCCTGGCACGTTGCCAAGCGTTTTTTCCTCTGGCAATACGAAATAGTGTTGTCAGAGGTGGCAGTCGTCTCATTGAGGCGTAAAACGCACCGGCCGAGCCGAGTTTTGATAGTTGATGCGGATTCAACGTCGATACACCTTATTTCGAAACAAGCTGAAGCTTGGAAGTCGAAGTTGTCTTGGTCAATGTGCGAGATAGCGACGGGCCGTTAATTCGTCGACTCGCACAAATGATCAAACCCCGTCCTCATCTGAATGGTGACATAATGTGGAATCCCCATTCTCTCTTCCCTATTCCCCCCTCTATGAGAGACGGTACTTCAAAGTTTGATGCAAAAACGCATGGTCGCACTGGCTCGCCTGGTACGTTCCAGCCTGGGCTTTAAGAAGCGACTATTTACCGAAAAAACGATTGAGCTTCATGTAACGAACTGGTAATCATGTACATGCAGGTCATGCGGCTCTGTAACGCGATGCCCTCATCCCAACCGATGCCCATTCTGCTGTGTGCTGGAAGAAACCAAAGCATGGCCAATATGAGCCCAAGTGTTTGGTTGCAGCGCAGGGATTATTCCTGCTATTACCGACCGTGAGTTAAGCGCAAAAATGCATGATCCCATCGGCAATCCTGGTGCGTTTCAGCCTAGGTTGTTCGCTGTAGCAGCGCTATAGGGATGCACAGCAAAAACGCAAAAAAATTTAGATTGCTGATCCATTCTACAACTAAATTTGTCAATAATTTTTTATTTGGAATGTTATTTTTTGTTTTTACTTGTTTATAACCTTTGAAGTAAAGTTGATTTTTAAGTCATCGTTTGACTGAAGGGGAGATACAAAATAACCGTGAAAACATAACTACTATGAACAAAATGACAGTGGTATTGACTTTAAGCATGTATTTTCAGTGACCAATTCAGTCTGTTTACTGACAATCCAGACGAGAACAAAGAATTATTTAAGAAGATTTTTGGATGGAAGAAAGAGGTCTGTTTACAAATAAATTTTTTGAATTAGGTCATGAATTTTTTTGTTCAGTGCAACACTGCTTAATGATCAGCTTTCTGGTGACCCTAACCCTTCTTTTTATGCGTTTTTGCCGTGTAGCGCTAGAGTGCTACAACAGGCAGCAGAAACGCATATTGCAACGATCCTGTCAGAGTGTGTGTGTGTATGTTTGTATGTGTGTGTGTGTGTGTGTGTGTGTGTGTGTGTGTGTGTGTGTGTGTGTG